TAACTCACTTACCTCGGAACCCAGTGGACTCAGTACTTACTACTCATCTGATGTCTACAGAGAACACATTAGTGCCACTAAATTACTCTGCTGGCTTTTCCTATGACAGCTCCTGCCACCAAACTTCAGCTCCTTCCCAGTTCCTCCCTAGAAAGGGACTGTATTGCACATCTGCTGTCTAGACTTTTCTGGTTTCTGCCCAAGGATTTGGCTTCTAAGCTGCCAGTCTCATCGAGCTGGCGGAACAGGTAATTACTAGTCCCTGGGAATTTAAATGAGCATGTGTGGGTACTTCTCATGGCTCCAAGAATACCATGGCTAGAAAACCTGTCCCTCAAAAATTAAAGGGAGATAAAGACAAACAAAGCAGAAGAAATACACTAACATCAGCTCTGATTTACAATAATTGCTAACGGGCGCCTTTCTAGATGAAATGGGATAAAAAGCAAAAGGCAAGAAGCAGCACAGAAGGGGCCGGGGAGATGGCTCAGTAGAATAAGTGCTTCCCTGGCAAGCACAAGGGCCTGAGTTCAATCCCCCCGCACAAAAAAAGCAGCACAGAAGCAAAAAGCAGCATAAGATTCATTCATACAGGTAAATGTATGAATGAAAACAGAAAATACTTTCTTAAAAATTGTGCTGGGTAAATAGCTTTTAATTCAAATGTAAAACTAAAAATATAAAGCATTAAAATTGGTATAATTAAATTATGTTAATACACAGTACCAACAGTTGTGAATTGTGACATCAATTGCACATACTACAGGAAGGGTGAGATAAAAATGTACCTTTGTATGCAAGAGAAATTGTTTAAAGGAACTGTTATAACTGTAAGCTATTTTATGTGTTTTATGGTAGCCATAAAATACTTGTAGAACTCAAATAAAAGAAAAAGTAATAAAACATAACAACATATACCACAAAACTCAAAACAAAACAGCAAGAGAATTCAGAACAACAAGACAAACAGCAAGCAACACACTGAGAATATCAAACTCTTTCCTGTCAATAATTATTTAAGTATAGGTGGTTAAGACCAATATCTAAGAGACAGAGACTTGCTGAATGAATTTGAAAACAAGATGTGAATATTTTGCTTCTATAAGAAAAATCAATTTAAACCAAAAGACACTCTTAGCATGAAGGTGAAGAGGCAGAAAAAAATAATTCATGCAACCAGTGATGAAAATAAAGCAAGAATAGTTCCATCTACATCAGACAAAATAGACTTAAGTCAAAGTCTTTAGAGGCAAACAAAGTCACCATATATTGATAAAAGTCTGAGTTCAACAGGAAGATATAACTATACATATAAATATACTAAATGTCAGAGTATCTAAGTACATAATATAAATATTGTCAGATCTGAATGGAGAAATTGGCAGCAATGCAATGAAAAATGGTAGGAGATGTTAATATTGCACTTTTAAGATCAAGATAGAAAATCATAGGGCCGGGGAGATGGCTCAGTAGAATAAGTGCTTCCCTGGCAAGTGCTAGGGCCTGAGTTCAATCCCCAGTTCCACCAAAAAAAAAAAAAAAAAAAATCTTTAAAGAAACAGTGAACTTGGACAATCCTAGACTAAATGGACCTCACAAACACAAATAGAAACACCCAGTATACATTCTTTACAAGTCCACATCATAAAGAACCTTCTTCAGTATAGTTGACATGTTAGCCACAAGTGGATTAATAAATTGAAGAATATCAAAATCATACCAGCCCATATTATGACCACAATAGAATTAAACTAGAAGCCAGTAGTAGAAAAGTGAGAAATTCACAAATATGTAGGCATTAAGCTAAATTAAATTAGATTACAATGTTGAGCAACCATTGGGTCCAAGAAAATAGTCAAAAAAGAATGCATACAAATATATTCTTTGAGAATGAGACAAACAAAAAAACATAAACACAACACACAAGACTAGTTCCAAATACAAAGTCTCTAGCAATAAATTCCTATGTGAAAAAAAAGAAGAAAGATCTCAAGCATCTTAAAGAACAGCTAAGGCTGAAGTTACGAGAATGAAAGAAATAATATACAGCAAAAATATACCAAATATATGTAATTTAAGTTTCAACTAAAAAATTAAGAAACAAGCAAAGAAGCAAAAAAAGTTACTAAAATTAAAAGATAAGTCAATACACTGAAACTGACCAAGAATTAATAAAGGTACAAAATAGCAAAAACAATGTACAGCTACATTGTATATGTTTAAAGAATATTAGAATACACACAGGAGATACTTAAAAGATCCAAATTGGATGTCTAGAAATAAAAAATTAAAATGCCTGACATTGGAAATTTACTGGGTAGCCTTCATGTCAGATCAGATATTGCAAAATCAAAGATTAGTGAGCAGGAAAATATACGAGTAGAAACTTTCTAAAATAAAATTCATACAGAAAATTAAAAAATAAATGAAGTAAGTGAGCCATGGTAAAACTAGGCAAGCATTCTACCGCTGAGCCAAATCCCCAGCCCCTAGAAAACTAAAAGTTACCTCAAATATATGTGGTTTGAATACCTAGGAAAGAAAAGATGGAAAGGAAATCTTTGAAAAAAACAGATAGCGAGTTTCTGTATATTTGCTGAAAACTGTGAACTCACAGATCCAAGACTGAAGTGATTCTAAATCAATGAAGAATGAACAAAAAGTATGCCTAGAAGCGTTATAATTAAATTGCTAAAAATAAGTGTAAAAGGGTAGGTACATCATAAGAGCTGTCAAAAAATAAAACCATGTTTCATACAAGAGATTAAAGGTATGGATATAGCAGACTTTTGGTAAAAAGGAATATAAGTGAGATACATCGAAACATTTTTAGTGCTGAATGAAAATGACTGTTGAAGGGAATTGAATCCTCACTGAAAAGACATTTCAAAAACAAAGATGTAAATATATATATATATATATATATATATATATATATAGAGAGAGAGAGAGAGAGAGAGAGAGAGAGAGAGGATAGAGACTTGCAAGAAATAAAAAGAAAAAAAGAAATATGTACCAGCTCTTTACTATAAGACATTTAAAATATTTCCATCAGGTAGAAGGAGGCATACCAGGCAGAATTATAGATTTACATAAAGGAGTAAAACCATCAGAAAAATTTACATTGTGCTGAAAAATATTATTTTTATTATCCTCTTACTCTGGATCCTAGCAACAAGTTTAGTAACCAATCAAGCGTCAACCCTCAAAGGGAGGGAGACTGGATCTCTACCTCATAACATAGGCTTGTGGCCCCAAATTTACTGTTGTCTCTGCTCTGAGCACCCTCACCCCTTCCCTGGGGTGAAGGAACTCACCAAAGGGTCCCTGGGGTGGCTTTATACTGCTATGCACAATATCTGCAATAAAACTACTGTCTCTTTGCACTGGTCTTGTCTGACTCCTCTTCCACTTTCTATATCAGAGAGACTGACCTTGACAAGGGTGAGTTTGGGGACCTCTGAACCCCAGGCCCACTGGAAGTAATAACCATAATGCACTAGGTGTTCATCATTTGCTTGAATGAAGCCATAAAACAAATTGGGGCTGGGGAGATAGCTCAGTGTTACCGTGCCTGCCCATTAAATGCAAGGTCCTATATTCGATTCCCCACACCAAAAATAAATAAATAAAAATAAATTAAATATATAAATTAAATAAATTAAATATATAAATAAATAAACAGATTGAACTGCAACATAAAATATATATAAAATAAACTACATAACTTAACAGGCAAAAGTCTAATAATGAGAAAAGAACAGTGTGTCAGTTAGCTAAAGTATTAAACAAAATATTTTCTTGGTTTAGCATTGTGAGTCAGCTACACAGTTCACATACAAAAAAGACCCATAGAAATGTCATTTAACCTGACAAGAAGGCAGCCCTGCAGCCTCCTTTCCCATCCATACAGGGAGAAACCCAGAGACACAAGTCCAGGAACCTCAGGAATTCAAATTAATGCTCATTGCTAATATATTAGGTTTACATTTAGAAATGGGAAAAAAAAAAAAAACCACCAACAACAAACATTTCATAAAAGGCTGTAATAAAATTTACTGTTTATAGTAGAGATATCAGTAGTGTTCTGGTAAATTTTACTCCACAATCTGCTTGGGGATGGAGGGAGCCCGACAAGCCCTGATCAGCCGTTGTGGTCAATTTCTGGGCTGCAAGTGCACCCACCGGGCTGACCTCAAGTGGACTTACGGGTAGAGGAGTCGGAGAGTGCGCAGCCGGCTCTCCTGGGCTTGGTGCTGGGCTGGGACAATCGCTCCAGTGGAGACATATCACATGTGACTCTGCTAACTCAGGTCTTATAAGAGAAAGAAAGCAAGTTTCTAGAACATGCTTGTGTGTTATATGCTTTGTGGATGTGAAATTTTCACCTCTGGCAGTATCTTTTAACCTGCACTACAGCATTTCCATCAGAAAATATTATCTTCAGGAGACATTACCTAGTGTCAAATATGTGACGTATGGTGAAGATGGGGCATTAAAAGAAGTTGCTTTTTTTTTTTTTTAAAGGAATCACTCTAAACAAAACTTAATTTTAATTAAGACCTTATGGTGAATTCTCTACAGAATGAAAATAACTGGTAACAAACAAAACACAACATCTTAATATCAATCTTAGACAAAATTAACCCAGGGCAACTTGTTAGTAAAGGGAGAGAATGATTAGGATAAAGCCAAATACTCTTGCCATTGCAGAACGTGTGTCTCCCAACTGTTGTCAGCGCATGTTTGCACTTCTGTTTTGAGCCAGTATAACTTAGTTAGAGGAGTTAATAAGGGACACCAAAAGCCATCTTTTTGTGGTGTTTTCCACAAAGAGAGACTTTCTCAAAGCTTTATAAGGAAGACTAACAGGAGGAAAAAAGCTTTTCAAACCAGAAGTTAAACAAAAGGGGAACAGCAAGAGCAACAACAGCTCCAGCATTTCAACACAACTGTAGCAAAGAAATAATCAAAGGAGTAACAAAAGAGCAGACATATACCCAAGTTCTGAGTCTGACTGCAGCTGGAGCACTGAGGGGTCTGTGTCCCACTGCAGGGTCCTAATCGTGCAGCACAAAGGAAAAAGAACACAGAGAATTAACAGAAGGGGAGGGCAACGGACCGAAGCAAACCATCATTCATTGAGGTGATGCATGTACAATACAATACATACACGAAACAGTACCATTCCATCCCCCCTGCTCAGGAGCCGGTGACTGACAAGAGAAAGTGAGAATCCATCCTTCCCTGTAAACATCTGTTTGGGATGGGAAGCGATGGCTGTTTTCATGGAAGACAGGCCTCCGTCAAGTATTCCAACTTCAAGCACATTCCCATCCTGTGCATTGTTTTGGTTTGTATTGCTGTCTGATTGACTTGAGCAGGTGAACTATGTATCCCTGATACCTCAGAGTCCACCCACACCTGGGAACTCTAAGCATCTTCCAGGCACTGGACAGGACTAAATGCAAATGGAACCAAGCAGGAATATCTAGCGATGCAGAACTAGATGGAGTCTAACTGTAGAGTCTGGTGCAACATTGGCTTAATCTGGACAGTTGATACATATACCTCAGATTTAGAAACTCATGAGTACTTTCATGTTTTTTTTTTTTTTCTATATAGATGCCACCAAATGGTCATTGCCAATGTCATGTATCTCTAAGATGCTGGGAATTTTTGTCTTTAAAATATTTTACAAGACATAGAGCAGATATCATTGACCACAGGTCATCCAATTTCCCTCCATGCTTCTCCTCCAGAGTGAGAAGAGATAAATAGCTTTTACGTAACAGACAGCGTATGCAGAAAGACCTTTCTCGGGCAGGCTCTCTAACCAGTGGCAGATGAACCAGGCATGAGGCCACTGGAGAGACAAAGGATGGACACCCATCCTTTGGAGTCCAACACGTGTGACTCAAATTTGGCCCTGGCATCTTCTTCAACTGTGTACATCAGGCGTGCGGCTTTAAGCTCTCAGGTCCAACATCCTTTTGTGTGTTCCAAGGGTGGCTCCCAGCTCAGTGGCATCAGCACCCCTGGGAAGCTTGTTGGACATGCAGACCCTTGGGTCCCACCCCGGATTTGCTGACTCTACCCTGCAGTTCAGGGGTGTCCCTGGGTGATCTGTGGGTGCACTGATATTTGAGCAGCCTTGTTCAGTTTCCTGGTCCATAATGTTTCACCATGGCCTATGGAACAATGTATGATCTGCTTGCAGCTATTTCCTAACTGATCTGTGAGTGCTCTTCTCTCTGTGTCCTCCTTGATACTTTTGCGTCCAGTATCTCAATGGCTCAGGAATCAGCTTCTGTTATCCCTTGGCTCAAATGCTATCCCCCACAGTTCTCCCCTGTTGCATTTCAATGGTCCTTCCTAAGTAGTATTCTCTTTCCCTTACCTTTATAGTGTTCATCTTTCCCTATGGTTTTATTAAATGTCAGTTTATTTATCCTGACATTTGACTCTGGACTTAAACTTCATAGGGGCAGGGGTAGCTGCATTCCGACATTACAGGGATGCCCAGCCCCGTGCTTATATAATATTTGCTGAATGAATGAATTTTTCCCCCGGTTTTTTTTTTTTTTTTTTTTTTTTTTGCGGAACCGGGGATTGAACTCAGATCCTTGCGTTTGCCAGTCAAGTGCTTATCCTACTGAGCCATCTCCCTGGCCCCTTTCCCTGATTTTTAACAGGGATTAAGTACAATTATATCTGGAAGGCACAGTAGCCATTTGGTAAGCAGTAACTATGGTTATTACTACCATGACCACTCTGTCTATTATCAAGGTTTCTTTGAACTAAAGTACCACCCACTTGATAGGTCTCCTATTAGCTTCTGCTGAGAGACAAGGATACAGTGCCATGGTTGCTGTATGCGCTCTGCTTGTGCTCCTGTCTTATCTAAATGCTCTAAAAGATGATAACTGAAGTCCAATGACAGCTCAAACTGCCACTCTTTTTGAGACCGGTGCTCCTCAAGCTTTTTTGCCTATAAAGCTTCCTGGATATTATTAAAGTACAGATTCTGATCTAGGAGCTGGGGGTGAAATGCTGCACATTACAAGGATGCCCATGCTGCCAGTCTGTATTAAAGGCTTGACCTGGGTAAGTGCTTCACAGACTGACCTTAAGAACTACCTATAACACAGAATGCTGATTCCCAACCTCAGAAATTTGGATTTAGTAGATCTGGAGGGGAGGCTAAAACTTTGTATTTCTACCAAGTTCCCAGATGATATTTGCAAGGCTGGCTATGGGATCACCTTTAGAGAATGGCTGGGCCAGCCCACTGCTCTGTGAGCAGACAGAATGAATTACTTGTGCTCAGCCACAGCAGCGCCTGAACTTGTGCTGTACTCAAGCATGGCCCAGAGCCAGGCCACCTCCAGCCAAGGAATCAGTGCATCTGGGGTGGGGCCCAGGCATTCCTTATAATGAAAGCTCTCGTAGAGATTCTCATGTGCAGCCAGGACTTAAACGTGCTCTGGATTTATTTTCATCTCAAGAACAGCTATCTGGGGCAGAGAACATAGCTCAGTGGCCTAAGGGCCTGTCTGGCAAGCACAAGGACTGGTGTTCAATCCACAGTACTACATGCCATGCATAGCCACTGAAACTGGGTGCTTTGCTGGTCACCGGAACCAGGCATGGTGGCACACACCTGTAATCCCAGCACTAGAGAGGCTGAAATAGGAGGATCAGTATGAGTCTGATCAGCTTAACAAGAGCCTGGGCACTATATACATTAAAAAAAGAAAAAGAAAGGAACAGTCACTCTTCATGTTTTGGACATCAATTCTTTCACTTTGGTTCAAATGAGGGAAGAAATGGAATTAATCCATTAAAATAATGTATACTTACTATTCACACACTTCTGGGAATTGAGTTTAAGGTGTTTCTTCTGCTGTGACAGAAGAATAGAGTCTCACTCTTGCTGATAATAAGAAGTGCTTCCCTGTGAGGGGTAGAGCCTCAGTGTGTCCTGAAGTTTCGGAGGGGATGATCTTTCTTGGCTTTTTCTACTTTCCCAAGCAGGTGAGGAATGTAGCAGCTCCAGGGTGGTCTAGCTGTTCTAGTACTTACTGGACAGATCGTATGAGCTCACTGTACGCTTAAGAAATAATAATAGTGATTCTATTAAAACTGCTCCTTTAGGAAGTCCACTGGCTAGCCTGGAGTTTGCATTTTCATCCCAAATGCCAAAGGCAATACATGTAGGTAACCCCCATAGCAACTATATATACATATATATATATATATATATATATATATATATATATATATGAAAACAAATCATAGCTATTGTCAGTAACAAGTTGTGGGGTTAAAGAATCAATCCAAGGGCATCATTATGTGTATCAGTTTTATTTTTTTTCACTTTTCCCATTATATCTGTGAGGTGGTCATATGTACATAGAAAGTGCTTTCCTTTTTTTCTCAAATAACCTTAAAAGCAATACAGTCAATGGGCAGAGGTGGTGTGTGCTTCCAAAGATGGCCGAGGAGCACATGCTACATGTGTGGTGACTCCTTCTGTGTAAACTTGCCACGAGTTCTCCTGTAGGTGCCAATGTCTGGGCCTAGGGATGGGAGGTTTGTGTTCTGGATTTGGCTTTGCTGTGTCAGTAGGCAAGTCGCCCTCTATTCCCAGCAAGAGGAAAAGGCAGGCCAAAACACCTTCCTCATTCTTCTGTGATTCATGTTTTAGAACACAAGATGATTATTAAACTGCCTTTTGGCTTTCTCTCCTCAACTGGAATAATTTTACTCCACCAGTTGACATAGAACTTACCTTCCAACTATGTTATTGTCAAGCAACTGTGAAGAGGAAAGGGTACCTTCCCCTACAGCTTCTTGGGCCATTTAAAATCTTGTCAAGTAGTTTACTTGTAACATAGAAGAAGTAGTATAATTGGAAGCAAGCATGTGAGAACAGGTTGTACAATCACAAATTATGTTCATATAGAAATCACCCTCTTTACTAGGGTAGCTAATGCTATTTTGTAAGCCATTTCTGGAATGGCTCAATAATGCATACTGGAAGAGAATATTTTTGATAACAACATTCATTTACCTATTTGAGAACACTGTGATAGCAGATTAAATGAATTCTAAAAGAAAATACAGTTGATATGGGGAGATAAACTACTATGTACTCTATATCTATCTATCTATCTATCTATCATCTATCTATCTATCTATCTATCTATCTATCTATCTATCTATCGCTATATATCTGTCTGTCTATCTATCTATCATCTATAGCTTGGTCAACCAAGGCAGCGAGCAAAGCATGTCATATAAGAGACACCAAGGGGTGTGGAGGGACATATGACTTACAACTAAGAACTGACATTTAAGTAAAGGAAAGGAGACATATAAAAATGTATTCTGAATGACAGATTAATGACCTATGCTGGGAAAAACACAGTTCTTTTCACTTTTTTCTCACTTTAAAAAATTTCAATAAATATTAGCTGAAAAAATAAATGCCACAAAAAAGATTAAAGGTGCTAATAGTTCAAAATTCCTTTCACTGAGCGTTGACTCTGACAGCCAGCCAGGCTGTGAGCTACATATCCACCATTCTTTGGAAGCAGAGCCAAGAGATACAACTTTCCCTGGTAAGAATGGAGATTCTGGTAAGGTGAGGGATTCCTTAATTTCATCAGTGCTGAGCTAATTAGACTTTCGCAACTAAGTTAGTCTATTAGATCTTACAAGAGTCAGTTTTACTATAGGTGCAAATTTATCAGTCCACCATGTGAGTAGTGATTTCCAGGCACACAAGACACACAATCTGCCCTTCTTGAACAGTTGCTAGATGGACAGTAACAGTAGCTAGCACTGCCTTCCAGTTTAGAACAGGCGAAGCTGAATGTCTAACACTATTATAGCTTCACCCTGCCTTCCCTCCACTGGGCTACTTTCCACCAAGATTACATACTTGCTCATTGCTGCCCAGCTGTCCCTTCTCTCAACTCCTAGACTGACCAACCCATTCCTTTCTCAAAGATAACTCCTTCTCATTCTTGTAACTATGTCAATTGCATTTCTG